TTAAAAAGACCTCTATATGATGTTTCTATGGAATTATTAAAATACATGTTATATATACCTTTTGGGACAAGTATCAACCAAGAATTATTTTTATTAATCTATATGAGTGGTGTTTGACTCAAAGGCAATCAACAACAACATTCTTCATTAGATTTTGAGATACAAAACTAATTTTCTATTGTCTTGAAACAGCTGATTTGGAATATGTTCAGTGAACTTTTTTTTTCAGTGTGTATGACAATTTTATTGTGATAAGAGTAACCATTTTAGTGAGAAAAAGGTAGTTATTTGACAAATGGTGCCAAGACAAATAGCTGTCTACCTGGAACGCAACAGCAGGGGAATCATAGTTCACATTACATAAACCCCAAGGTAGAAGAACTAGAAATATTTACATTATTTCTTTAATTTATGAGCCGATATAAAAGAGTTAATACACTGGATAGTATAAGACATCACTACTAACAATTGTTATTTATCCATCCACTTGTTGAAATTAATAAGTCAATTAGTTTTTAATTTCCCATTGTGTCTCTGGTATATTCCATTCTCTTTCATAGTTAATCATTGCCCTGAATTTTGTGCTTATCGTTGTTTTTCTTTTCTTTGTATTGTGTTTCATCTTTTTACTTCTGTTCAGTCTTAGATTTTTTTGAATTTTCTATAAATGAATCCTAGTATATGTGTTTGAGACTTACTTCTTGAGTGTCAAAGTATATGTTCTGTTTCATTTATGTCCTACATGCAACTATAATTTACTCATTTTCAATACAGTATAGGACTCTCTAGTATAAAAATACTTATTATATTAGTCCACAATTATTTATTATAATTTTTTATATTTTTTTAATAATTTAATGAGCATTTACAGACATTTTGGATTTCCACTCATTCATTGCTGTACTTGTTCAGTGAACTTTTAAAAATATCCTTTAATGTCTGTGTACTAGAGTATCTATTCTATTGATATTTTGTTTTTCTCTAAAAGTTCTAAGGTAAGTTGAGACTGGTGAATCTACTACTGACCCATCCTTCCAACTCCTTGAATAATCTGGCTCCCCAAGCTGTGATTTGTAAAAGAAAAGGGATATAGATCATCTTCATCATTTCACAAATTAAAAAATTAACTCATGGAAATTAAACTCATGGAAGAAATGCTCATGGAATTAACCAACACTATCCTTGCCAAGTTTGCATAGCTAATTAATACAAGATCTAGAACCAGAACCAAGTCTTGTTTTTTGTTTTACAATACCTTCTATGTTTGAAGGAAAGTAAGAGTTTTCTTCTATATTTTGGTGCTTACTCATCCTTTGGAGAGCTGAAAGCATTTGAAGAGTAAGCACTTGATTTCATAAACAGGAAGAGAGAGAAAGAGGTTCCAGTCTCTAAACTGTTTTTAAAATCTGCCCTTGGGCACAAAAATTCAGCTGTACATCTCTTATATGTCCAGGATGCATTATAGGATACTATGTGAAACAGAAAGTTGTGTGATTCAGTTGTGCAAGTACCATATTAGACACAGGCAATGCACATCCAGATTCAGTGCTCCCCTCCTCCACTACCTCCACACAGACACAGGGAGGAGTGTGGAGAGGTGTTTGGGGTGTCAGGAGTAAGTCTGGTGACTCTGCCCTATTGAAGCAGCAGCTTCTGGCCACGTGCAGCCTCTGCTGCCATCACCCTCAGCAGGAGCCCAGGAAGGCCTCAGAGCAGGCCAGCATTGCCTGCACTTCCTGCAGGAGCAGAGGAGCCCTGGGAGGCATTGCCCTGTACTGGGGTGAGAGACTGGAAGGCTGCTGGGGAATACAGAGGAAGGAGGGGCGCTTTGCAGACTGGATATGCACTTGGCCCCCCACTCACTCACTCAGGGGGTTTGAGAGCTTGAAAACATTATTCGGATCAACAGGTTTCTAAGTTTCTTTACAAGGGCGAAGATTGCTCATTTTTACCCTCAAAGTTAGAAGCCCAAGTTGACATGGTCTACCTCACCAGAACTCCCTCTAAAAACATTGTGTTATGTTGTTATGTGCTGTCCAGTCGGAACCAATCCATAGTGGACCCTCCAGCAGGTTTTCAGAGGCATTAAATTGCATGGGGGAAGACTGTCAAACCATATGTCTTCAGTTGATGGTGCAATTCCTTACCACTAGGCCACCAGAGCTCCCTCGAAAACTCTTAGGAGGAAATAATTTTTAAAAAGAGAACTGCTTTCAATGCAGCATAGTATTCCATTGTG